GCATCATTCTTACCGGTAGCGGCCGTAAACACAACCGTTTCATCTCCGTCCAGCGCTTCTAACAGCATCTTCGAAAAACGGGCTACGCGAACATTCAGGTCCTGAAATCATCAAGTGAAACCTTCCTAAAGTGCTGAAGTTTGTGGCCCGCTCACTGACACACCACATGGGCCTCCCTTTACAAGTGCCAATCCGGGAACGAGCTTCGCTGTCACGCCGCTGATCAATCCGTGTTGAGTTTATGGTTCCTCATTAGTGAAGTTCCGCAATAAGCTTTTATTCAGCTGTATGTATTCACAGGAAACCTGGTGATATTAATTAAAAATGTATCCAATATTTATCGTGAAAATATATAATATAAAAGTATTGTATATATGACGAAAATATTTATCAATATATATATAGTATTTTTTATTGGTGGTACATCTTCAATAAAGTTCCGGCGTGTATTTCCGGTGACTGGCACACAGCGGCGGAAACGCAAAGCTGCTGTGTAATTGTTCAGTTTAGCTGCCGGAGCAGCTCAGTCTATCTGTGAAAAACACTTTATTCAGATTAAATATGCCGGATTATTTGGGAGATGACCAAAGGAAGACAAAGGAAGAGGAAAAGGATGACGCGCCTATCAGAGGTATGTGTAAAAATAACATTAAATTCTTAAAAACAGTCAAATGTTCTTTACTGACAAGGAGCTAACTAATATTAGCTCCGGAGCTAACGTTAGCTCAGCTCGTTGAACAAACTGCTACTGTTTACCACTAACTAAGATAACTGTTGTCGTTCAGTAAACATACATTTTAAGATGTCTTTGGTGAAAATAGTTAACGCTAACATAAAATGTGTAAACATGTATGAAATAAACTATAACGCTTAGTTCGACACCAATGCTAGCGGCCTACTGACACTGTCAGAGTGCAAAATCATTGATGTTGTTTTCATCTTTATCACAGCTTTGGATGAAGGGGACATTGCGCTGCTGAAAACCTATGTAAGTATAACCTTAGAAAGCTTTGCACCAATTCTGATCTACGTGTCTAAGCTGTAAAATTGGCCAAATATGCGTTATTATTCATTCTAAGTTGAACTAAATCGTTACTCGCTGTTTATCGCCAGGGTCAAAGCACCTACTCGAGACAGATCAAACAAGTGGAAGATGACATCCAGCAGCTGCTCAAAAAGATCAACGAGCTGACAGGTGCGTGATAGAGCCATAAATACACTTTTAATGACAACAGAGCTGATTGTTGGTGACAGTGGAAAATGTTGCCATTTTCTCAGATTTTGTGAGAAACCCACTGACTGGCTGCTTTCTGCTGTGTTTGTTTTGGCTTTGCCAGGCATTAAGGAGTCAGACACTGGCCTGGCTCCACCAGCTCTCTGGGATCTTGCTGCTGACAAGCAGACTCTGCAGAGTGAACAGCCGCTGCAGGTGGCAAGGTAAAGCAAACTGGGTTGTAACTGTAAAGCGATCACAGTATGTTTGGATATATCTGGATCTGTGCAATATTTAATGTAATATGGACTGAGAGGCATTTGCTGTTCATGTTATTCAGCAAGAATGAGCAAATAACCAGGACAAGACTACGTTCAGTCGATATTAAAATAAAGCTCAAGACAGTATCTTTTAGAACGGTGTTGCTGCTGTATCAAAACCTCTCCTAACTTCCATTTGCACAAGGTTTTGAAATTTATCATTATCTTTTTCTTTCCCCACAGATGCACAAAGATCATCAACGCAGACTCAGAGGACCCAAAATACATAATCAATGTCAAACAGTTTGCCAAGTTTGTGGTGGACCTGAGCGACCAGGTGGCTCCAACTGACATCGAGGAGGGCATGAGAGTTGGGTGAGGCACGATTATTATTATAATATAATATATTTATAAGTATCAAACATCATTAACATGTCATCACATTTATCTGTGTTAATTATCTGGTGAAACAATCTCTTCCAGTGTTGACAGAAACAAGTATCAGATCCATATTCCTCTGCCTCCAAAGATTGACCCCACTGTCACCATGATGCAGGTATGAATCCACACAAGGGCTCATATGAAAATATCACTGTTTGAGCTTGTTACATATCAAAATGGACAGAAAATTTGGAATTATTTTTCCAGGACATTTAAAATGAATATATAATGAATGCTGCAATTTCCAGATGAAAAAGAAGCTGCAGTATTTCGTGCAGGAAACCTTTTCAACTCTAATAATGACGCTTTGTCCAAATGTAGGTGGAGGAGAAGCCTGATGTGACGTACAGTGATGTTGGTGGATGTAAGGAGCAGATCGAGAAGCTGAGAGAAGTGGTTGAGACCCCTCTGCTGCATGTGAGTGTTCACAAACGCTCCTCATTGATTTATGGAAACCCAGTCCCCTTCTGGGGTTTTTTCTAACACCTGTCCAGAATAAAACGTCTCCTCTCTGCCATGTGCAAGAGACTACAGACACATACCTCCATCCTGACTGATCATTAACACTTACCTTCTTCCTCTCCTCACCAGCCTGAGAGGTTTGTCAATCTGGGTATTGAGCCCCCAAAAGGTGTGCTGCTGTTCGGGCCCCCTGGAACAGGAAAGACCCTGTGTGCCCGAGCTGTGGCCAACAGGACAGACGCCTGCTTCATCAGAGTCATCGGCTCCGAGCTGGTGCAGAAGTATGTGGGAGAGGTGAGACTGCAGAGGCTAGAGGAGCTCCCAGGTCAAAGAGTAGCAGCTCTTTAATTTGTCAATGTGGACCAAAAGATATAATATTTTTCTTTCTCCTGTCTGTGTTTGTTTGTAGGGAGCCAGGATGGTGCGTGAGCTCTTTGAGATGGCCCGCACTAAGAAGGCCTGTCTGATCTTCTTTGATGAAATTGATGCCATTGGAGGTAAAGCTCGCCCCAATGTCCCATTCTTCTATGTGTTAAAATGTTATATTTATGGTTGTTGTGTGATCCTTTGAATATGGCCGAAACAGTGCTTGTTGGTGATTCTAACCAGAGGGTGACACTGGAGTGGATTTACGCTCCTGTCCCAATCCCAGAAGAATGACTCCTGTCCCCTCCCGTCCCATTAGGGGACTCTGACTTCATTGTTGGTGATGGTATTTTTTACAGTGTTTCCCCCAGTTTGAGAATTTACTTTTGCTGGGTGACACATTGTGTGACCGATGTGCATCCACAGAATCATGCAGTTTAGAGAGGGAGAGTGTAACCCAATTTTCTGTATCTAAAGTTTACAGATGTCCCCTAAACACCTCAAGTGCAGGCAATTAGTAGACACCAGCTGGTGGCTGCACACAGAGGAGTCTCTTGTCTCCACTCAGTTACTGCAGTGCAGCTCAGACAGGTGTGTGGCTAAAACTTATTTAGTTTGAAAAGAGTGAAATAAGGTTCTAATGCCAGATGCGTTGGCTCTGCAGTGAGCAGCCTCTCTGACGCATCAGCAACCCACACGAGTCCACACGCGACTCCAATCCCACAGCAATCCTGAAAAATTGCCAGCCTCTAAGTGCCATGTTAGTTATTTAAGTTATTTTGAATTTAAATTTTTTTTTTTTATCAAAATTTCTATTATTTTACATAAAAAATGTTGTCATTTGTCCTATCATGAAATATTGATTGTTATTTTTAAAAGCAATGTAAAGAGCCAAACTGAATTGTAATAAAATTGATATAATTGTAGAATCAATTTTAAGATAAATACGATCCTCCCTCGTCCTGTGTTTGTACCTTACAGGTGCACGTTTTGATGACGGCGCCGGAGGAGACAACGAGGTGCAGAGGACCATGCTGGAGCTCATCAACCAACTGGATGGCTTCGACCCTCGTGGCAACATCAAAGTTCTGATGGCCACCAACAGACCGGACACACTGGACCCGGCCCTGATGAGACCCGGACGTCTGGACAGGAAGATCGAGTTCAGCCTGCCTGACCTGGAGGTAAGTTATATTCTTATCAATCAACGATAACACCATCATGACATTGGGTTATATCTGCTCATCTCTACTTCACATTTATGTATTTTTCTAATTCTGTAGCTGCTTACAAGAGTCATTTTCCTCTCACGAACCTCTTGACCTCACTCCTGTTCATTTTGTGTTTAAGGGTCGCACACACATCTTCAAGATCCATGCCCGCTCTATGAGTGTGGAGAGAGACATTCGCTTTGAGCTGCTGGCTCGCCTCTGTCCCAACAGCACTGGTAAGACTGACACAGCAGCATTCAGTCCCTGATCTGTCCTTCACATTCTCACTAGATCCCCCCCCCCTCCCACCTCTCTTCATCCTCACTGATTTGCTTATTAAAACAGCTTCTACTTCTGTAGCTCGTTTGGTTCATTCCAGGCTCACAGAGACATGGATAAACATTTGGAGTCTGTAATTCTTCTCAGTTGCAGCTAGTGTGCATAGGACTTCCAGTCTGCACTCAGTGTCTGTAGTACTGATGTTTGGCCACAAGGGTGAACTGTCACATAACTCTGTCACTGTCCTGTGGTATATACAAGTATCTCAACCAAAACCTGGAAATCTCCAAAATTAGAGGGTATTCTACATGAACGACTGAACTTCCTGTTCATTCTGTAAGCAAAATCTGACGTGTTTCCTTCCAGGCGCTGAGATCCGCAGCGTGTGCACAGAGGCAGGCATGTTCGCCATCAGAGCCCGCAGGAAGATCGCCACAGAGAAAGACTTCCTGGAGGCCGTTAACAAGGTCATCAAGTCCTACGCCAAGTTCAGTGCCACTCCCAGATACATGACCTACAACTGAGCATGTGTGTGTGTTTGTGAGAGTTTCCACTTTGGCTTTTTATCATCAAAGAAGCAAAAAACTGCGTTAAAACATTGTCCTTCATTGTCATTTGTTCACTTAAAAATAAAGTTTATTCCAAATATAAGTCTCAGTGCTTTGTAAAATAACCACATGGTAACTTTAAAGGCCTCCCGTGTAAGACAGTAACAACTAAAGCTTTTTTAGAAATAAGAAAACAGGTTTTATGCTAAAAATATCAACTGACAGACTGTTATATAACATTTGTGTTGGATTCAGACTCAAACAGCAGTGAAAATGTAACAAATATGATACCGCATGTGACCAGTGATGGTTATTTCTGCTGGTTTAAATACAGCTGAAACCATATTAACTATCAGTACACAACTTCTCAGTGACCATTAACATTTGATACCAGCATTATGATGATGAGAGACAGCTTCTGGACTGTTTCACAAGTTTCTTGGATAAAAGCAGCAGCAGCTTATCTTTAAATCTCAGTTCTCCCAGCAGAACAGTGACAACTTAAACACAATTACAAAAATATGTTAAAAGTGCAACCCTCCCGAGAGAGAGAGAGAGAGGATATACAGGAATAAGGCTGTAGGTTCCTCAGCTGGAAACTTAGTCCTGGATTTCTGATTGGATAAAAGCCTCAAAGCTGCCCTCTGTCTTGCTGCTTTGGGCACTTTCACAAGGTTGTCAAAATCTGGAGTGCTTCATGAGAAGGAAAACAAGCACCACTGTGCTGAATGATTGCTGATTGCCCATCACTCCTATTGTCGGGTTTGCCTCAGCTGTTTTGTGTCAGGACTGCCGCTGCGGTTCGATCTCGGTCAATGACGTCTCGTCAGGTCGTTTCATTGGCTGGAGCAGCTGCTGGGTGGGAGTTAGAGTGTTGACAGTGTAGCACGGCGTCATGGACTGTGGGGAACACCATGTCTGTGGTCATGACCCCCGTGAAGAACTGTAAGGTGTCCAGCTCAACCAGTAGGCCTCCTAGTAGATTAAATCAGAGTGAAAATAAAAAAAACTGTCAGACCAAAGGCAAACTGCAGCTATGTACATGAAATTTTGTTGTATCATGAACCATGAAGGAACCTAATCACGTGCAGGAAAAAGCAAGACAAGTTTATTTCCATAGCACCATTCAGACACAAGGCAATTCAAAGTGCTTTCCAGAGGCATGGAAATACTTTAACAATAGAACATTAAGATGACATTAAAATAGCATTGGAAAACAATAAAAACAAATTTGAATAAATATATTTGAATAAGTCATATCAAGATTGCATAAAATCAGGTAGGAAACTTAGGACACCATTTTAAAAGAAGTGCTGCAGTGATAAAAGACACTAACAACAAGCAAATGCACAAGATTAAAAAGATGTTATGTATGTGATTTATTGATGAGCTGCAGCAGATAGCGATGTTTTAAACCCTGATTTAAATGAGCTGACAGATTCAGCTGATCTCAGGTGTTCAGATAGTTTGTTCCACAGGTGAGGAGCAGAGAAAATAAAATCTGCTTCACCTTGTTTGGTTCTGATTCTGGGAACACTGAGTTAACATGTCCCAGAGGACCTCAGGTCTGGATGCTTCATATCATACAAGTAGATCAGAGATGTGTTTCGGCCAAAGACCAAAAACAATGAAAAAGATTCATCTCGACCAGATTACTCCTCTCCTGATTCTCCTGATTAGATTATACTGAGCTGGTTACTCTGTGATTCTGCTGTGGAGATCAGAGGGCCTTTCTCAAGCAACTGACACTCAGCTGTCAGTTTATTAGGAACAACTAGCTAAAACTAATGCAGTCTAATACAAGATATCCTCCTTAATGAAGGTTATTATGTTCACTTTTTATTGAAAGAGACATGCTGATTCAAATTAATGGTGGTTTTGGAGGCTGTTACACTGTTATACTAACAAGTGTTTCTAATATGCAATCTACCTGGTTTTAGCGAGGTCTATCTAATAAACCTTTCCTGACTTTAGTATGTTAATGCTAATGATAGCAGATCTTCTGATAACAGAACAGATAAACTGCACTTTCCAACAAACAGGAAACATGTTGTCATGGATACAGTGAGTTAAACCCTGTTTTTTTCAGTCCATGTTTGTTTACATTTTGTAAAATAAAGTGTAGTGAATGATCTATTTTAAGTTCCTGTTTGTTATGTACCATTGGTACTGACAACTATCACTGATCACTGACTGAGGAACTTCTTCTTTCTCTGATCTCTAATCAGATTAACAGAGGTTTATTTGCAGTGGTGTTCTCATGTCTGTGTGTTCAGGTTTGACTGAATCCTGACTCAGAATTTTGTCTGATGTGTGTTTCAGAAGTTTTTGAATGTTGATATTTAATGACTTGTTAAATAATCTTATTCATCCGATTTATTTTGGAGCTCAGTTTGAGTGTTTTGATACGATATGTGAATAAATGTGACCAGTAATATCAGACCTGAGGAGCTGTCAGCCCTTTTTATCTTGTCAAAGTAGCTCTCAGAGTAAAAAAGGTTGAAGACCCCTGATCTACTGTGTATTTGTCCTCTTTTCCCAGTAAAAGACCAAATAATGATATATCTTATTCCTCTGTGCTACTGAGCTCCATTGTTTCCAAAAACTATTAAAATACATCAGCGAGTGTCTCATAAAACTGCAGTAGCATCCACTGATACACTTATACACAAAAATCATCATGATTACTTACTGCTGCAGCCGGCTATAACCACCAGGACATCCACGGCTGCATATTCTTTAATGACCTGTTGAAACAGACACAGAATTACTGGGTGAAAATAAGATGAAGGTCTGTTTACACAACAGACTTCTACAACTGAAGAATCCTACAAGCTTTCCTGAACTGAGAGTGCAGCAGCACAGGAGCGAAAACGTAAAGATTTGAACTTGTACATGTTCTGTTGCTTGAGTGACCCTGACATTGAAAACAGCCTCCACTGAGAAAAAGGAAGGACCTGTTTGATGGCTTTGGCTCCCACAGAGTCGATGAAGTTGACGGGCGTCCAGTCCAGGATGATGAAGTGGACGGTGCTCGGGGGATTAAGGAAGATGGACTGCTCCGAGGCTGACATGCTGCATCTGTTCCCGTTTCTCTGCTCCTCCGCCATGTTGTTGTAGGACACAACCTCGTGGGTCACTTCCTCCTTCTTGTACTAGAACCAATCAAAGAGGCTGATTTTTAGCTTTGGATTTCAACAAGCCAGAAGGTAACCTGGGCTAAAACAATGTGATAAATAACAGGTTAGTTTTGTGTATTTTTGATACTAAAACTGCAAGGAGCCACAGAAATTTCCAATTCTACCTATGGGGTTTTAAGTGGGTGTAAGCTTTGCAAATATATGTCTAGCTAGCATGATGAAAATGTCTTTTTCCCCTTCACTATTACTACAAGTAACCATGCATTGGATACAATAAATGTTCTTTATATTTTACTGCCATCTCTTGACAGAATTTCTGCACTCAGTTCAATCATTGCCTTAAAAGTTCAATCATTGCCTTAAAAACTGAGTGCAGAAATTCTAAAGGGCAACTGAGGCCTGAGGAATATGGCTACTGTACATCAGTAGCCATGTCCCCAACACGATGGACACGCTAACGCAAATATGCAGCGTGCGTCATATTTACACCGTCAACAAATCTGACAGTGTACATACACACAACGTGTAACCAGAGAGAGAAGACAGGAGGAGGACGACTCACTTTGACGCAGATCTTGGATGGAGAGTTGTTGCTGCTGTTTGCCTTCTTCTCCTTCTGCTTTTTTATGGCTTTGCGAGCAGCTTGTATGTGTTCAGGGTTTACGCCTGTCTGTAAAGACATCAACAACAGTGACAGACATTGACTAGTTGAAAACCAGATCATTAGATACCGGATCCATCACCACAGTCCCTATGAATGACCATCATTTACTGCACAGTCATGTGAGTGGTACTGATTTTCTCATCTAACTGCTAAGTCAGTATCCCAGTTTGAAACACTACTCAAAACATACTTGTATAAGCAGCTTTTAATTCTTCTGTTAACTGTCAGCATTGCACTAGGAGGGTTCTTAGAAAAGACTCATGGACTAAAGAGTTATCATTATCATTATCATTATTATCATTATTATTATTATTATTATTATTAGTGTGTTCCTTGTCACTGGTATTATTTCATTCTACATTGTGCTCCACAGTGTTTTCAGTTTCAACTCTGTTATTGTTGTTAATTAACTAGTTCTTATGAGTGAATGCAGTTAGACCATCAGTGTGCATAATTACAGATTTAATCAAATAACCAAATACACTCAGTTCAGTCAGTTTATTAGGAACACCTACCAAAACAGTCCTGCAATAACTCCTCCTTCATGAAGGTTATAATGTTCAGTTTTTATTCAAACTGTTTTAAAGACGTGTTGATTCAACTGTGTGATCACTTTTGGAGGACATAGTTTGTGATGCTGTTCAACTGTTATTTATCTGTTACTTAGCCTACCCTTAACATAAAGGGGATGGACAAAATAATAGAAACACTTGTCTCTATAACACAATACAGTTCAACAGCACCACAAACTGCTGCCTCCAAAATGATCATGAAGTTGAAGCAACACCTCTAAAACAGTTTGAATAAAAACTGAAAATCATAACTTGCATGAAGGACTGTTGCTCTTAAACAATCTGCCACAAAATTGTTTTTAAATCCATATAATTACATGTCCCTGGGTAACAGTAATAACAGCCTACATGGTAACAACATTTGTAAATTGTAGATAATTTCACCTTTCAAAACCTGGTGAAAAACAGTTTAAGTCCACTGATAATAGATGTGGATAATAATAATAAAAAATGGGATAAGGTTTTTCCTCCTGTAAAGTACTCTAAAAACACACACATAAGTATATGCATGCACACACACACACACACACACACACACACACACACACACACACACACACACAGAGGATAGGATTACCTTCTCCTTGAGAGTGTTCACATAAAGGTCACTGTTGGCAAAGTAGATTGACGAGTTGGAGTGGAAAATCTTAATCCCCTCGTACTCAGCAGCCTGGGAACAAAACACAAATCACAAACGTTCAGAGCAACAGACTTGGTGGGAAACTTTTACCCTGGGTTCAGACTGATGTGGTGTGTTTTTTTTTTTTTCACAGACTCACCTCTTCATACTCTTCCACATCACAGTACAGCCCAGTACCTGGAACGTGGCCTAAGACAGCACTTTTGGGGCTGAAAGACAAAAAGAGACGTCAGAAGCACTTCAGTGTAAAAGGTATTGTGTGAACACCACATTCTTCTGCTAACATGCATGGAGCGCCACTCAAGCCTGTATTTACATACTATGATATGTGGCATTAATTTTCAGACTGAAAACAAGCAGCTGCCTATCATCAGTACCTCTGTGTTCTGTAGATGACTGTTAGTATGGCGAATGCGACTGCCACCAGGAGGCCGTAATCCAGGCCCAACAGCACAGATGCTACAAAGGCTACGAGCCAGATGGCCTGAGAGAGAAAAGAGAAGAACAGATATAAACCAACATGAGCATTAAAACAAAGGTAAAATACAAATAGCTACATCCTCTTTTCTTCCTATGAGAGGGAAAGACTGTCACACAAAGTCATGTGATGGAGGCTTCTCACGCCTCTTTTTCTTTCAGTAAGGATAGAAAGACATCACATTTGACCTGACAATGATCGACTGATGTTTAAAATGATACATTAAAGGTCCCATACAGTATAAAGGTAGACGTCCATGTGTTGTTTGATTATAAAGCAGGTCTAGGTTCTATATTAATACTGTGAAAGTATCAAAGCCTCAGTCCACAGAGAAATGCACACAGCCTGTATTCAGAAACAGAGCCTTAAAACCAGCTGTCAGGACTTCTGGAACTTTGTGATGTCACAACAAAGCAGTCATCACTCTCAGCCATGCCCCAAGAGAGGCTCAGAGTCTCCTCTCATCTGATTGGCTCTCTGACCTGTTGTTACTAGAGCTCCAGAGAGAAGCCTGAGAGAGGAGATGTAAAACTACATTGAGATGGTTTTTGGTTCTTAAAACCACAAATATATCTTCTTATGGATCAACACTTTTAATAAAACAAAGGAGAAGAGGAAAATGTGGGACCTTTAAACACCTCTAACTTGCAAATTTGTAACCCTCAGACTTTCATTTTGTTATAAAAATGTGCATATCAACTTAGAAAAGTAAAACAAAGATTAAAAATCTATGTTAAACTATGTTTAACTCTACATGGTTTTCTGTCAAGGTGGACCATGGAGTTGAACTGAACTTTGATGAGATTAGATTTCCCTTTACTGTCAAGAGTCCTTCTGAGGTTTGCCTTGCGTCACAAGCAAACTAAGTTTCTCATACTGTACATAAAAAACACTGAGTATTTCATCCTATTTTTGCTGTAAAGTAAGAGGCCTGTGTTCCACCATTTCTGCAACTTGGCCAAAATGCTTACTTATATTAGCAGACAATCTCTAATGTTTTGAAGCCACATTCACGTAAGTCGTGTTCTTATTACACACACAGGATGTGTTGCTCATGGTAACAAGATTATTACGAGATGCAGTTTAAATCACATTCATCAAGAACCACAGTGAATTAAAAAGTACAGAACAAGACCCCGATCAGCTCATTTTGCATCATCAGGTTTCTGCCATTTCTGATGTTAAGTTTGATTTCACACACTGACCAGCTCAATCTTACTGGTCCTCCATAGAGCAGGAATGTCTCTGATCTGTTTGAACATCCCCAACAAGTTCACCATGATGATGGCAGCCAGCGCAGTCTGAGAAACAGAACAGAAGATAATACAACATGAGAACAAAACTATACAGAAACCCATTAGAAAACACTGGCAGTCTTTTCTACTGTTGTAGTTATTGTTCAACAGTCTGAGAAGAAAATGAAAGTGTCTGCAGCTCTGCCTTTGACCGCGAGCTGCCAGACGAGAAGCTGGAGCTCCACAGCTTCACCCACCTGAGGGAGTGGCTGAAAGACGAAACCGATGGCCACCACCACCAGCAGCACCACGAGAGACGCCAGCAGCCCTGCGATCTGAACAAACACACAAAGTGATAACTGTGTCAGTATTATCTCTTCCTGGTTAATTATGGTTTTACAACACTAATTTAGAGTTAGATAGTGTGTGAGTGTGTGTGTGTGTGTGTGTGTGTGTGTGTGTGTGTGTGTGTGTGTGTGTGTGTGTGTGTGTGTTACCTGTGTTTTTCCTCCTGTGCTCTCTTGCACCAGGCTTCTTGACATGGAACAAGTGATGGCGAAGGTTTGGAAGAAAGAGCTGATGAGGTTACACAGACCGAGAGCAATCAGTTCCTGAAAGCAGAGCAAGTGTAGCCAAATTTAGTGGAATGAAAATGCGAACTTTTCCTGCAGATTGTTAGGCAGTGAAGAAATACTTCACTACAGTTTGCAGATAAGAAGGAGGCAGATGTTGATACTTGCAAATGATATTGGACTCCAGAGGTCAACCACGCCATCAAGGACATCAAGGACAGGATGATCAAGCTTAGCTGAAGTTAAAGTGACTTCTCTTCTACAGGCAGTCCAGTGTGCCAGATATCAGCTATTGTATGAAATTAGATTTATTCTAATTTCTTTTGTATTTTATGCCTAGTACTACTATCATACAGCGTATTAATACTGCAATAAAGTCTTCTTAATGTTGTGACCTAGTCTTGATTGTCAAAACCATGTGACTGGTGTTTATGTTGTCTAGTTTCCTTGTCTTTGGGCTGCGTGAACAAAAACACAACATGGTCATTGGTTTCCACTGCAGCTCAGACCAAACAAAACAAGAGACCTGGTTACTGAGAGATATAATACTGTAGTAACCTGTAACTAACCAGCAACATGTTTTGGTTGGAATTATTTAAAATAAAAGTGTTGCTACATTTAATGATCACTCCCTTCATACCTGCACTGTCCCTTCATTCCATAACCACATACATGGAAAGAAACCAGCTTTCTCCAGAACAAATCAAAGCTAGGTCAGGTTTCTCTAGTTCCTTACTCCAATCAAAGATAAAAGCCAAGTTTCTCTTTTACATGATCTTTAGGAAATCAGCTTACAGGAGCTTACTGTAACACACTTCATGCAAACATATTGCTCAATGGCAGACAGAGTTGTGTCAGCACCTGCAGATTGTCAGATGTCTACACTCACCTGGTTGCCGTCCACACTGTACCCGTGCTTCAGGGCAAAGATCTTGGCCAGTGACATGCCCATTGAGAATCCTACAATGGCCACAGCGAAGGAGTCTGTGACCAGACTGGGTAACAGAGAGAACTGTGGTGCAGCAGGGGGGAGAAGCCTGATAACACATAAGAAAACACTGGTAGTACATTGATCCCTGTGTGCAAATATTTATATTATATTTTATGACGGTTCCTTTTACAGAATTGACGTGGAGAACAAGGGCCCAAAGCTACAAATTTAATACAATTAATATAAAGAATAAAAATATAAATGCAACACTTCTGTTTTAGCCCCCATTTTTTATGAGTTGAAATAAAAGACTTTTTCTAAGCTCACAAAAGGTGTCTTTCTCTAAAATCTGGTTCATAAATGTGTTTAAATGTGTGTCAGTGAGCGTTTCTCCTCTGCATACCTAACAGGTGAGGCATATCCATATGCTGATAACACATCATGCTTATTGCACACATTTGCCTTAGGCTGGTCACAATAAAAAGCCCCTTTGAATGTGCAATTTTATTTTGAAAAATGATTTTGCATCAGAACCCTTGTCCTATAAATCCACAGCTCAGTGACAAATAAATGTCTTTTTTTCAAAATAAAGTGCACATTTTAGAGTGGCCTTCAATGTGAACAGCCATGGGCAGGTGGATGGATTATCTTGGCAAGTGACAAACGCTCACCAACACAGATTTCAACACATTTGTGAACAATATTAAAGAGAGTGTGTATAGAAAAAAGTCTTAGATCTTTTGTTTCAACTAATAAAAAATGGAAGCAAAAACAAAAGTGTTGCAATTATATTCATTCAGTATAGATTAACACAAGTTCTATGCTACACTCAGACCTCAAAGTCAGAAAAATCCCTTCTGAAGAACACGTCTCTAAAATTCATGACATTTCTGACAATGAGAACCTAACAACTTACCCTGTTGGTATCTTCCCCACCACGTCCACATTGTAGTCTTCTGACAAAGACAGGCCGTACGAGACGCCGGTTGACACGATGACGACGATGATCTCTCCAGGAATGGGAATGGGCAGTTTCTTTTTGAAGCGCTCGTTGATGTCTTTCACACCATACAGGAAGACGATACACACAAGGCCCAGGATGAGAGTGGTGATATTGGTGCTGGTGATGTCACTGAGCACAGCCTTGACGCTCTAGGGCATGAGAAACAGGACGGTTTGACCAATTATGATACATTTAAGCGATCTATTTTTTTTGGATTTAGCAAACATACAACAACAAAACCACACCTTCAAAAAAGGTAAAAAGCTAAGATTCCCAACTACTGATACAAGGACGCTCCTCCCACCTCCAAACTCTCCAGAGACCATTAAACTCACATAAATAGCAGAGAGGGGCCCACTAAAACGCTGTGTCTTCACCCCCAGCAGGTACTTTAACTGGGAGACGACAACATGCACAGACGCTGCTGTGGTGAAGCCTCGCACCAGGGGTTCTGTGAGGTAGATCGCCACAAAGCCAAACCTGAGAAGACCAAATATGATCTGACAGGAAGGAAAAAGAAATGAGGAAAGCAATAAGAGAGAGGCAAGGGGATAAGGACAAGTTAAATATCTTTGTTTCAAATAAAAACATGAAATCAAGCCTTGGATGCGTCAACAGTGACTCAGACGTCCTGCTACTTTGAATGAACAGTGATTTTTGAGTGAGAAGTTTGAGCAAACTGTATCACGTTACTGTGATGTTCTAACCAAACAGACGCTCTGTGGGGGTTGAAGGCAGATCGACAGCAGCTCTCAGCTGCTCACTGAGTGTGTTGGTTGTTTTGACACTGACCTGGATGATTCCCACCAGGGTCGTGAGCACTACGGCCACCTGGACCCTCCTGGCGTCACGAGCCTCCACGTCCAGAACAGCAGACATGTTGGATCCGTTTGCAGGCAGGACATAAAACATCGAGTCTGGGGCTTCTCTCACGACAACACCCCCAATCATCAGACTTATAACTGCGAAGGTGCCTGCAGATCACATAGACAAACAAAACTTACTCTGTGATTTTGTTTGACCTTGTTATTTCATTTAAGTATTTGACCTTTGAGCAGCTCAGTTCCTCCCTCTCTTCTTTTTTGTTGTACCAATTCATCAGATGGACTCATAGGTTAGAGCTGACATTTGAAATGACTTGTACCTTGTTCTAGAAAAGAAAGTAGCTTTATGGATGAGATGTTTTGGGTCACTGAAATTGACTTGTGCAACTTGTGAATCTTTAAATGACCCCCCAGTGTGTGGGACAGACAGTCGGCAGTTTGAACACCTGGATGTGTGAAAAGGCCACTGACTAAACATTAAGAAGCTTTACAGCATAAGGAGGTAATTTAAAATAAATATTGTGTGAAAGCTTGATGGTGGTACAAAATCATTAAGTCAGACTGACACTGGCAACAGATTTTCCACCACCAGTGCTAAATATACAGCCATGTGATGTGTGAACGACTGAATGAAACAAAAACATGAGCACTTAAATAAAAACCAGACAGAGAGAATGAGGAATAGAAAATGCAACAGGTATCTCTGTGTTTCAACAACAGATTCACTCCACCTCAAAACTGTGTCTACTGCTGATAAACAAGAAGCTGCTTTATCCTTAAAGTTTTTTACCCCATTTTTTTTTAAACTCCGTTAAACATTATCATCTGTTTCAACTACAACTACGGAAAGCAGAGCGTACTGTGCTAACTACAGAACACTTTTAGGTGGGGTAAAACCGAGCAGTAGCCTCCAGGGCTGAAAAATGAAGCCTACACTGAAGTGCCAAAAATTGCAGTTCCTCTAATGGCCACGGCTCCAAAAGTAAGTCATTACATTTTATCAAGACTTAAAGTTATGTATAATTGAGGGCGTGGCCGCTTTGAGTGACAGGTGGGTGAATGTATGATTGCCGCAAACTGGTATGCACCGAAGTCTTGCCTCCACACGCCCCTCCTCTTTGCCCATTTTTGGATTAGCCAAGAGCTAGGGGCAGAATCAGACACTGCCAAGGTGGCGACGGTGGAGCAGCTCACTCTGAGCTTCAAAACCGCTTTTGAAATGGAGGCTACGTCCGTCTTTATTTACAGTCTATGGGTAAAACCTTCTGGCTATTCATACTGGAGGTCTTCAGCGCAAGAAGAAGAGTGCATATAAACTCTTCTAAATGGACTTTTTTTCACAGCAGACATTTTGACTTGTCATAGTAGGAAAAGCATGTGTTACTAATAACATTAATAATGGCTTCAGTCTGTATTTAAGTGTCTCAGTTACATGTCCCACATGCATGATATCTGACATCCTGACCTGAACTATGGCATTTAGACATTTTTGCAAACTGACACTCTGCTGTCACTTTATCAGGAACATCTAGCTAAAACTAATCCAGACTAATGACAGCAATCCTGTAATAACTCCTCCTTCCTTGAAACTGTGCTAAATAGATGTTGATTCAACTGTAGCCTATGATCAATTTGGAGGCTGCAATTTGTGGTGCTGGTGAACTGCACTGTGTTATACTGACAGGTATTTCTATTATTTTTGTCCACCCCATTCAAATTAATGAGGGTTGGCTAAACAACAGACATACCTCTTTAATGCAACACAGTCCAACAGCACCACAAATTACAACCTCCAAAGTGATCATACAGTTGAGCCAACATCTCTTTAACAGTTTGAATAACTAGAATCACGACCTCATGGTTCTTTGCTCCACCAACCAGCCAAGTTGCAGGAAATATGCTCACAGTCTCTCCTTCCTGAGTTACAGTATTTGACCTTTTGGATATTAAATGTCATCACATCACAGAGTTTGTGCCAAATTTGAATAAGTTCCATTAAACATTACTGAAATATCGTGCTCACGAGAATGGAACATTCAGACAGACAACCTGAAAACATAAAGCAAGAAAATGCAGGTGCACTTGGGTCTGTGAAGTTAATAAGGAACAGAAATACCCTGAAAAGATGAAGTAAAGTCTGTGAAATCTATGCAACAATATGCTAACTGTCTTATCTAAATCAGTAACCCAGACACACAGTAGCTTATCAGTGTTGACCGTCACTGCAGGAAAATGCAAACACCAAACCAAACACCACCATCCTCAGTCAAACACCATTATGTCTGACTCATGGACATATTTCACCTTAGCCCTACTTAAGTCCAGGCTTGGTCCTGTACCGTATCATGACTTCCAGTGTAACTGTGGGGTTGTGTACTTGAGAGTGTGTGTATGTGTATCCCTTTAAGTGAAAAGGCCATCTTGCCCAGCACTTGAGCAGCAGCCCAGTTATTCCCTCGCACCCTCTGCCAGAGGTAAAGGGATCATTTCCATAGCAACCTGCTATCAGACAAAATTTGTTGAAGAGGCCATTTTACAGTGAAACCAACTGCTCCCTGTTGTGTGTCTATTGTTCAGATTAAAAGCCTGAGCAGGTTTAGTTGATTATACCCATTTGTCAGATGAACTCACAGGTTGGAGCTGACATTTGAGACCACCTAGAGCCAGTTCTAGGAGAGAAAGTAGCTGCATGGTTGAGGTGTCAGAGAGAGGGGTAATGCTCATGTCAGCTGAGGACATGGTTATCACATCTCAGTGAAAACTCCACGTGCTATCCCTAAGACAACTTCATGTTTCACGTCTGGTAGTGATGGGAATTCAGGCTCTTTTCAGTGAGCCAGATCATTTGGCTCAGCTCACCAAGAAGAGCCAGCTCTCTCGACTCCCAAACGGCTCTTCATTTTACAACTTTTGCCTTTTATAGTTCAGCCAAATTTTGTGCTGTTTTGACCTATAATTAGTACGTGTGCACATATATGACTTAAATTAGTCAATGTAATTATACTAAACCATATAATTTCCATAATATCATAATTTTACATTATGTTTGGTATAAAAAGATTAAATATAAAGACATCAAACACTATTACATGTGTATTAAACGTTTTATTTATACTGCATGTTGTAGTGTTTCGCTACAAACACTAAACAGACACATTGCATCTGGTCCTTGTACATAAATGTTTGTCACAATTCTAATGCTACTGTGATGTCCACATAAAATAATATAATAAATTAAATAATAGAGCATATACGCTTCCAAATTTCACGTTGTCTCTAGAGACGTGCTGTGTTTTTCCTGTAGACGACTTTCAATCAAGCCCCTGATCGTCCGTGTGTCATCACTGACTTACATCGAGACACTAACATTTGAAGTTATTAAATACTTGGAGGAGTTTTGCCGTTTTTCTGGCACATTGCTGCTTTGTGTCTGTATTTATTGATCAATTCTGATCTGCATTCTTTGCCAGTGCCGTTTAGCGTCACATGACTGAATCAGACATTCCTATTGGCTCCAATGGGTGAGATTGCAGCCAATCAGAGTGTCTGATTCAGAGGCTTGGCCTGCCTTAGCTTTATACCCACACAGAATGGGAGCAGCGCTGTTCTACTCTGATATCAAAGTGAGTAGAAGTTGTTTAGAGTTTATTGAAGTGACAGAAGGATGTGACAGTCACATATTTAGTGCAGCGAAGGATTTGGAGCAGATTTTTCAAGGACCAGACAAAAAACGCCCATAAATACTGCTCCAGAGAATGAGCTATCACATGAACAGATAGATAAAAAACTTCAAATCACCTCTAAAAGTACTCAAACAAATAAATAAAATTTTCTGTATTGAATTTCTTTCTTTCTTGAATAGTTTTTAGAATTTATTTTGGGTAATTTTGTTGTTATATTAATAGAGTAATTAAAAAATAGAGGGTTAAATTAATGGAAAAAATAATCGATAGCTTAATCAATAAACAAATAATCGTTAGGTGCAGCCCCTAAAAAACATACAATCACTGATCGAAGGGTTTCACACGGAGGCTCAGACACTTAAGGAGCACCACCATTTCTCACCTACTGATATGTGTCTGGATGTGCCGAAGAAGGTGTAGAGTAGGACGGGGTAGAATGAGGAGTACAGACCATAAACTGGAGGCACAGCAGCCAGCATAGCATAGGCTAGACCTGTGGACCAGAAGAGAGAGAAAGAAGACAGTTGGAAATAAACTGAACACTCCCAGTGGCAAAGTGTTTGCATCACAACCTCAGAGCTACAGTTATACCAAAACAAAGACAGCATGAAGCCAATAGCAGCCCCTCAGGAGTTGGCAGCTGGCCCTTCACACTATTTAACCCTCATGTCATTCCAGTTGACTGGCGTAGCTCATGGCTACTGTGTAACACAGCGGTGCTGCTAGGACTGCAGGGCACTGACCTTGAGGGAGCTGCACCACTCCCGTGCTGAGACCTGAGACTACATCCGAAAACAAGTACTGTTTGACTGGATAGGATGGCAGCCATGTTAGAATCGGCAGGAAGCTCAGAGCTGCTGCCTTGGCCCTCTTTGATGAACACCTACAAGATGAGACAAAAGATTTATTTTGCATGAGTTTGTAATTTAAAAAATATGAATTAATTCAGGCTTTTTGTAAACATGACAGAGAAGGCATCTGTTCAACCACAGAAACTTTTTCCTTAAATCTGCTTCATGTTTTTTTGGCTGCAGTTCTGGGTCCCTCAAAATTTGATATGATACACAATTTTTTCCCTTTAACTTAGGGGAAATAATTTTGCATGACTCACCAGACTCCCAATCACCTGTATACACATGAAATTAGCACATCTTTATAGGTAAACATCAATAAGACATTTCTTAATTCTTACATCCTGCCAAAAACAGACCATCACCATGAGTGAGATGGGAGGGTTACATTTCCCAGGGAAATAAACTTGGGAAATACAGCTATAGAGTGAATCAATCACATCAGCACAGGACAATGATGGGGCAATATACATGTTGTTTTTACTGCCTTTTACTGATTTAATGGCCGTAAAGATGGATTCAAACCAGTGACACACTGCATATTCATTGTTAGTCAAAGGCAGAGAGCACCAGCTACAGTTGGAGTCAGAAGTTTAGCTTTCTGATTCACTCAGCTGACCTGCAGCTGCGGCGTAATACAGTGGCTCCGTAGGTGCACTTGTGCGCAGGAGTACTGTAGTTCAGCGGTTGAAAAAATGTAGTGCCAAAGGAAAATGCTGTTTTCACAGGAAGATAAGCCGATGAAAATATTCTACATGATGATTCATTTAAACAGATATTGGATTGTTTTGGTGGGCATTTTTAAAAGTGTCTGAATAATTTTTTTCTCTTGACTTCATGCACAGCAACACATTGTTCTGCTAGTCTGCCAGGGCCCCCGCTTGGATCTCCTAACTGGGAGCTCGCTGCTCAGGATCTCATGCGGGTAATGTACCGACTATGCATGACTACCTCACACAACCCCAAGTCAAAAAACCCAGACTATCCCTTTAAGGACTACAACCTAACTGTGTGTAAAATTGTGACTTCAACTGTATGCTAAAAAATATGCAGAGCATTTCTTCAGAGATTCTTCTGTATTCTAATACTTAACTTTGCATTTACATGGGCCTGTTTAGTGCTAGCTATAAAACCTGGTAGAAAGCTGAAGCCATGTGTCTTCATCTGTTGGAACATTTTCCCATTTCTATTTAAATGTTTCGTAATATATCTATTCAAACACAAAGTGCTACTTGATCTGAAGAACTAGTGAGCACCTGGCTCATCAGTGCAGGAAAGGCATACCTGTTTCCTTAATAGAATAAGTCACACACCAGTGCAGAACCTGAGAAGTAGTTTGCCAAAGATATTATCTACCCTTTGCCTGTACATTGGGAGGAGGGAAATGTGACTGTATTAAAAAAGTGATCTTCTACTCTGTCCCTCCAAAATGACACACCCTCAGATGAAAGCAGACAACCTGCTCTTCAACCTTATCAGTCAATGTGTCAATTACATCAACAAACACGTTTAACAAGTTTTTACTGTTTAAACATCCATAAAAGCAAGAGGAAGGTGATCACAGGCTTTTCATTCTGAAAATGAGAAAACCATCTTCCCCCAATGTAGTTAGTGGTGGACCTATAAACTGGCACCACATTCCACTGAGCAGCTTACAGTTATGAGCAAAACTGTCAAACATTAGCCAGGTATTTTTTTTCTAATACATAATGTTTTATGTAATTATTCATTAAATATCTTTGGACTTTTAATCAGACAAAACAAGAAGTTTAAATATGTCACCTGGTGTGAAACTGTGACAGGCATTTTCACAATATCACATTTTACAGACTAAATTCAAGTTAGACAAAAACAAAATAATCAGGAGATTCAATGAAAACTATCCTAGCAAACAAGTGGATAGATTATACTACACAAACCTGCTCATACAAAATTAACTTGCTGCACCCATATTATGTATGCCTAAACTGATTCAATAAGTTGCTAAAGAGAACTTCAGCAGGTACATATCTCTATGCAAACTTACCGGAACTGCTGTGCCAGCCTCTCTCGAAGGGTGGTGGACTTTTCTTTGCGGTCGAGAACCTGCGACCGGATGGCGGCTTCATTGTAGACTGGACGCTCAATCCTGTACATCAGTTGTAAGTCTGCATCCTCCCTGGCTGCCACTTCTTCTTGCTCCATACTAGAGACAGGGTGGCTGATGATCACGTACAGTCAGAGTGTGTCTCTCCAGTGTTGATTATCTCCCCCACTCTTGTGTCTCTGTCATTGCTCTGACTGGTATATCTTCATCATTTAAACTGCTGCAACTTTAATCTGTCTGCACTTCCTCTTTTTCTGTTCAGAGGGTAAGACAACACAAGATAATCATCATTCCAACACTGACTGCTCTGCTTTTTGGTTGAATGCTTTTAAATGAAAGTAAGAGCTGGAGTCATGATAACCATTCAGAACTCTTGTGTTTTGAGCATTTTTGTAAGGGAGACTTGTTGGACTTACAAGGCAACCACATTTGAGAAAAAAAATGTTTTATTTGATATTTTGTAAATATTTAGTCTTTGGCCAGTTTATGAAAACACAAGTGTTGTGAGCTATTGGTGGGGCACAGGGTGCTATACAAACTCATATGACGTAAAGGTTCCTCTGTGAGTGACTGATAATAATGCTGCTATTGATGCTAAAGCAAACATGTTATTATGTGGACTAAGAATTATGAAACTAGGAATATTTTATCATTCTCAAACTGAAGCAGACACACTGTTAAAAAAACATAGCCCATTATATTTTCTATTATTAAATGAAGCAGGTTAATTTCCTGTAGCTTCAGAGTGAGACTTGCTGACCTATGCTCATCACTTTTCCCAATTCAATCAACTCTCTGACGCAAACAGCTGACTGCCTCGCGCTTCTTCCCGTTTCCTCTCGTTTTTGTTAGCTAGCTAACGCGTAACTGATGAAAGACTAAGAGTGACTTAAATGATTGTAAAATGTCAGACAAAATAAAAAAAATAACATTAATGTTCTGGTTACAGTTATTAACCAATATCCAACCACACTAGACTACACTCGCTGTGACAGGGGGCGGTTTTTTTCTAGCTCTCCACATTAATGCTAACACAAAGATGCTAAAGGGTTTTACCTCCGTCCTCTTCCAGCTCCTGTGAGGATGCTGTCGCTTGAAAGAGAATATGAATTCAAAGATTAACCTCTCGAGTTGAAGTTTAACAGCGGGAACGACCTTTAATGACAGCAGGGAGCAGCAACCGTTTACGATACACCAAAGACAGTCTGTCTTGAGAGGATGACTTACTCCATAGTGAAATTCCTGTCCACCTTCCGGTCTGCAAAGATGGGTGTTGATCCTCACGCATGCGCTCTCCTCTTGCGGTTAGCCCGTTATAGTCCTAACATTTGTGGCTTTCCATTGAAAGTTAACAATGTTTTGTTGCCACACAGTTTAACATATTTATATATTTATGATTATGTTATCTTTCTTTAAAGGCAGACCTACTGTATGTGTTGTAGATGTTAAAATGAGGCTGAAATGTGTGTTGAGTTGGGGATATTATCTTCATTATATTTCTTCTTTCTTTAATTTGTTTTATTCGTTATCTCTCTGTTTTTTGAACAAACAAACCCTACATCTATTTTCATTATTTATCAAAATAGTGGAAAACCTCTCCTAAAATTAAATTAAAAACACTTGTCTTGACAAAAAGATATCAGTGGACAACTCAAGGATCATGCAGACATGCTAATGGGCCCATGGACTTAGAAAAGAGCCCAAGCACTAGTAGTTTTACATTTAGCCATTTTTCAGGTTAACCACATCCATAAAGGGCTAATGTTGATTGATTGAAAAGACTAGCTCCACCCCAAATCCTCTAATTTTATATCTTATATTAATTTTCATTTCTCGTCTATTCAGTTTAATGATCAGTTATACTTTGTTTATAATGAGATTATTCTGTGATCATATGAAATCTATGGCGTAGACCTAAGAAGAGAGCAGATTCTTGTTTTAAAAACTAGAAACAGAGTGAGAGCTGTTTAGTTCTTGTGGATCTCTGTCTGTTTGGGGGCAGGCAGCTGGATGATGAAAGCAGACCACATGCCGCTACGTGTAGTAGTCATGGTGCTCCCCCCTGTGTCCTGCTTTTCTTCTCACATGGTCAAAAGAATGTGAATGAGAACATTGTTGTTTTGATAATTTGAATAAATAATTACTGCAGAAAGTTTCATGCCCCCACATTTCCACTTACTATATGTAACTTCCATTTACTGTGTAATCCACATCCCTCAAGGAAATATCCGTTTCTGCACACATGATGATAATGATAAAACGCATTTTCACACCAGCCTACTTGTTTCTCATTTACTGGTGCCTGGTTTTATATTTGATATTTGCCTGGAAGGTTTGTTTTGCTTCTGACAAAAGATAATCTGTAACTAATTATTCATAAATGCCCCAACAAAACATCTATTTACAAAAGTCCTTGATCATAATGATGACTTGGTCCTTTTGTGTTGTTCCATTTAAGATAAACTTGGACTCAACTATAGAGAAGAGGAAAATACCACATGCTGTTCATATACAGTATTTAGTGTTAAATTTACTATATGGCTTAAGGACATATTCACACAGTAGATGCACTGATGCTATCTGTCTTTCTGTATTAACACCTTGCTTCCATGAGGGGGCAATAACAGTCAAAGGGTTAACCAGCTTTACTGGAGGAGAGACTTATCAGAGTTGAATTATATGTCATGTTTTTTAATGCTTTTAACTATAGCCTCATAGGCAAATAAAAGTATTCTTTAATTCTTTTATTTATTTCTCTTTATATATTTCCACATTCTTAAAATTTACTTATTAATTATTTTATTTATTCCTGTTTATATTTCCACATTTATTTCCTTATACCTTTTTCCTCATTCTTTCTTTCTTGCAGATGTAATCTTTTTATGGCACACCTATGACTCCATATTTAACTGTCGGAATACAAACAATATATGAAAACTAATATACTGCACTGGTGTGATATAAAATATATAAAAGTTCATAATGTAATACAGCTGCTGTAAAAGTGATCTATCACAAAAACAAACACTTTGACTCATCATCTTTCATTAGCAAGCAAAACAACTATGTTAAAATGCTGGCATTGTGTCAGATGTTTGTGTGAAAAGACAAATTATGTATTTTAATTTGGAAAACTTGCACTGCAATCTTTCCTGATGATAAATAAAACAAACACCAGTTTGGGCCTTTAGTGTAGAAAATTTATTAATAAATTCTCATGTCTTTCAACCCAGCAGTCCAGACAGGGCCATAATATTTGTTGTTGGATGGATTCTCACAGTAATATGTCATTGGTTAAGCAAGAAAAGGCTGATTGATGTTTTATGCACTAATATGCATTGAAAAAAATAACACACTATTGGGTAATTAATTAATTCAGAGTGAATAAAAAGTGCAGTTATAAATAGCCCCAAATGTAATAAATAGAAGAAAAATGGGAGATTTATCAAATCAGATTTGAAAGTAGCAGAATCACCACCAGATATTACTGAGGGATCACTGGAGTGAGCTCACCTACAGTTTAGTCTTTATAAAACCAAAATCTGAATTTCCCCAGTTTATCAGGAAACTGAAAGAGAGACTGCTACTGTACCTGCTTTCATTTTCGTCAACAAGTGAAAAGGGAGCTGTTTGCTGGATGGTGTCAATGACCTCAGCCTCAGTGATAAACAACAGCCTTGTTGAACTTTGCTAAAAACCTACAGCAAACTTTGCCCCGATCACATCACACGTGCTTCACGTCACTGCTTTCTGCACAAAACTGCGACTTCACTGAACCAGCAGTGATACAAGTTATAGCTATTATATTGAGAAAGTACTTTCACACTACAAAGTGTTATAAGATCTTCTTTCAATGGTCTACAGCAATTTGTAATAAGTCATTTTATCAGCCTGCTCATTATCTACCATTAATAATTATACTGCTGGCTGCAGTGTGTGAATTATACAATGACAATCGGGGGGTGGGGGAGGGGGGGGTCAACTTTTTCTCCGAGGCAAGAGGGAACCCAGTACGGCGCAAGCACGCGGTTCAGTGAAGTGAATGTTACAGTCCGTAAGGTATCTTGCTTGTAAAACTAAAATCCATACTTGTACTGTATATACTACAAACTTTGGAATTATTTGTGAACAACACTTTACAAGCTCAAAATCTTTGTGACCCTATATTCAAGCCCATACTAATAGTCTAGCAGAACTAGTAATACCTTTGAGGATGTGCGCATTTTGAGAGGCCATAGTCAAGTCTGAATCCTCAAGCAACCCTTTATGAAGTGAAGACTGGCCAACATGGCCTCATTCTGCAAAAATGTTGTAACACCCAAGGTCTAAGACTGTAATTTGTCTCTGTAAGAATAGAAACAAGAAAAGAGCACACACATGGAGAAACTCACTGTTTGTTAGGTTTGATGTATGTGTAGTGCTTCCTCCATCGATTGGATTAGGACTCAGGTAAGAATTAGAATTAGGTTTGGGGTTCAGGTTACAGTATGGAAATGTTGTTTGGCCTTGCATAGGTATGCACACTCTGTGCCATCTAGCTTTATAATGTGATTTTATGGTTCAATATGATTTACTTGTTGCAAGATAGCAGCGCCGGGTCTATAAAATGTGACTGTCTCACTATGAATCACATGTTTCAAGGCTCATTGTAAAAAAAGTGGTTTTCTTATCTTCAAACAGCAGCACAATTAATCTTAAAGATTTCAGGGGGGAAATTTCTGTCATTAAATATTAGAACATTACAGCTGATCAAGGATTGTTGTAGAGAAAGCATCTGAACTGTACTGTATGCTTCACACTTGAATGCCGTGATCATTAAAATTCACCTGAAAGATAAAGGTTGGTGCGATCATGTGAGAGAGAAATATACCAGCATGCTACAGGTTGTTAACTCTCTGAAATGCCACCGTGATGTGAGCTGAATCAGAAAAACTACAATAAGGAGTAACTGCTGATGAAAACAGGAGCCAGAATCATACGAGAAACTGCAGTCTCCTGGTTTCATGCGCCAAAGGGCTCAGAAGAATGATCTGTAATCACAGCATCTTTTGTCGCGATCACACCTCTCTGCCTCTCTGCCTCTCTGTACTGAACACTCATGTCTTAAACAATATTTTGAATAACAGATGCAGCATTTACAATACTATCTTTACAGTCTGTTAACACACTGAATATTTGTCATATACAGAAATGTAATACATATCAAGAGTAAAGTTGCCACATATGGCACCTATAAGGGGATATACACACACATATACTTGTCATATATCCTCTGCATATATGACATATATGTATGTATATATGATATAAGCTTATAACATATATGAAATACCCATAGTAAAACATATATTAAATATATATATATATATGTTTAATTTTTATGTTTTAATATGTGGCAACTATGTTAATGATATATATTTCATTTATATATGCGAGTTTATGGAAACAGCATACATACATATATACTGTCCATAAAAATTCTATATGCTTTTATATGTTTTTCTTATTTATTTCTCATTACTTTTAGATGTGTTTATCTTCCCATTCTGTGAAAGTGGTCTCAGACTGTATATCATATCAAGATATATTGACAGGTTGGGATAGATACGGTATATATTTATGTAACGTATGCCTACAATATAAGGATACATACGTAAACATACATATTTGTATGGGCTAGACATATATGTCAATATAGGATATTGTTCCAAATTCTAATGGGTTTCATATATAATTTTTACATTTATGTTTTTATTATATACATATATTTCATGTATATGGAAGTTCAATATATGTATTATATTGCATTTGTGCATGGGAAAGATAACAAGACTTAGTTCAAGGGGAATACTGGGAAAACTGGAGAGATGCTCTTCTGAGTTTTTGGGAGTTTGTTCACTGGATTATGAACCAAACAATGATAATAGGAAGATTATGTCATTCTGATTATGTCTGATTAATCATTTACTCCACAGTCAATCTCCTTGTTGTGATGCGTCATTCAGGAAGAAACTGACTGCACTCTATCGGCATCTTTTTTATCTATCCAATCCACCTTAACATTTGACTGGATTTTAAATTTTGGATCATGATTTGAGGTAACATTTTGGAACGAAAATGGTTGGAACTACACTTACCTGTTACGTTTGTTCTTTTCAGTTATTATTGATTTTCGTGTGAATCTGTAAACTTTCCACCCCTCGCTGGCATTCACTCCTGTGTAGGTCTCTGTCCTCAAACATGAC